GGGGGGCATATGGCCGCGTAGTCCCATAGAAAAAGACGGGGGCTGCGTACTAATCACACGCAGCACCTCCTTCCCAGGAGCTGCCCGATATGGCCGTGCACGTAGCCCTAAGCTGTACGTGCCGGCCGATTCCCGTGTGAATGAGCCCTAACGGGGCTTTCTGTTGTAGGCTGAAAATACTAAGCCACTGCTTCACAATTATTAGAAGCGTTGTCAGCTGTTACTGGCAGGTAATAAATGTTTCAACTGATTTGCAAAAAATGATATGCTTAAGAAAACTGTATACATTGACCCTAACTTACCGAATGAATAGAGCATGTTGATTTCTCTTGAATTCTCACCTTGCAAGGGAATTTTCCATTGGCTTAGTGAATAAGTTAAAGCTATGCTGACTTCTATCATCCAATCATATGCAAGCAAAATCTTGTTTTTTTTTTATTTTCATGATTGGGTATTCTTTGCAAAGCGTATTTCGCCACATTCACTAAGCCCAGTGAAAATCCCCTTGCAAAGTTAGAAATTGCTTTGCAAAGTGAACATGCAGTACTCCTTTAGTAAATCAGGGTCAATGCATCATGATGCCAAACATACCGAAAATATAGATATTGGGTTTACATTTACTTTGACATTTGAGTATGGGTCTGTTTTAAAAATACTCGCCAGGCTAGCAAACTCCCACCCCATTGATGGGCTTTGATGTGAACCTACCCCCAGGAAAGACTATCTGAACTTTCTTCTGCATCGAGTACCAAACCCAACAAGAATACGTTGTTTACTTATGAGGTCACTGAACCCATGCCACATGCAATATGCTACTAAGTAGGGATGAGCTTAGATTCGAAACAAAGTGTATAGACAGGACTGGATGAAGAATACAATGTATATGGTACTATGACCAATTGAATGTTGAAGTACAGTGTCCTGTGAGCTGGTTGACCGGTTGTTTCAACTGGTCAAAGTACTACATACATTACATTCTTTATCCAGTCCAGTCTATACACACTGATTTCATTCACGCCCTGGTGGAGGGGGTGATTTATTGTCCCTGAAACGCGTTGATCTTAGCTTGCAATACATTTGTATCTAGACTATTGACTGTTGGTGTGGAGTCTCAGATCGTTTTAGTTATCAAACAAATCAAGCGAATTGTGGAGATCCTTTAGCGTGTACAAGCTGGCAGCCACAAATCTACAAACCTTTTTTTTAACATCGCAACACTATGATAGAAATACCAACAGGACAATCTTTGGGTCCAGCACTACCTATCAATTTCTTCATATTTCTAATATCACCCCTATAATATCTATATAATGGGCAACCTGCCATATCCTATAAGCAATTGACTGTTTACTTAACATAACAGATTTGGAATTCTTCTTTCTTATCTCTTTCTTATCTTTTTCCTTTTGCAGTGTAACTTTTGAGGGCTAGAGGTGAAAATCCAAACCAGAGGATTTATTACAGAGAAGCTTACTGGATCTCCCACCTTTCTACTAATCATAAATCTATAAAGGAGATCCGGGTACATCAAACAAGCTACTGCGTGTGAAAATGTCACCTCTGGCTCTGAATGGGCAGATTTACTAAGAGGCAGAATATTTCCCCCTGATCTTGTAATATTACTCCACTCCAATCTGATATTTGTGCTATGGGTAGACACCAGCGGGCTAAGTTACCTGCTTACATCTATTACTTGGAGACTTCAGCGGTAGGATCTCATTACTGCAGAAAAAAATCCATCAGTGAGGCTTTGTTGTAATGGCCGGAGCTGGTTGGTGGAGTTGAGAACTCAGATGCAGCATCTTACCTCAAGAGTCCCTGACAGATATTAGAAAATGGTGGGAGATTTACCCAGCTGACATTTACCCAAAACCCAAATATCAGTTATTGGTAATTCGATTGATCTTTTAATGGGCCACTAAACCTGCAGCATAATTTGTCTTGTATAAATAAATTAGCAAAATTCCAAATTTTAAAATATTCAAAGTGCAAAAATTCCTGTCATTTGATTCAGCTGTAGAGAAGATTTTAATGCAATGTTAAAGATATCAAGTTATTATTACTAAAAGGAATTACTGGACCGAGGAGTTGGCTTTGTGCAGTAAAATGTATATTCTCATAGTCACAACCTTATTTAAAATATAAGTTCTGACTCCTGTAGTTAGCAATCTGCTTGAGGAGAATGATTATTTACTGCTTTTTCTTATAATTTATTTGGAACCTACAGTTTTTGTGGCCCTTTGAAATGTACATGTATGCATGTCAAGGTGAAGGCATATCATAAGATGAATGTAAATATTCTCAAAATGGGGAACTGGAAGTGTTGCCCAAAGCAAACAATTTGCAACTGTGAAATTTGTACAAATTTGCTAATAGAAGCAAGGAACTATGTGTTATGGGCAACAGTTACAGTGTACCATTGTTTAGATGTTAACATTCTTGCTGGCATGAATAATTGGGATAGTTAGGTAAAGGGAAATGGAAGGGCAAGAATACTTACCTTTTTTTGGAGAAAATGCTGCTCTAGGCTTCCTCCAATGGTGCTCACAGGACCAACAGCCTAGGCCTGGGTAGTCAACCTCGGTACTCCAGTAATTGCAGTGATACAAGTCATGAAGCAAGGGATTTGCAGTTTCACCACAGCTGGGGTGCCGAGTTTGCCTACCCCTGCATATGCATTAGTTCAAAGGGATTCTCAGAGGAGAATCAGCCAGTGTGAACTGCAACCCCCCCCCTTCTCTTTCAGTAGCAGTCACCTAATGCAATACAATGACCTAATGCCTGGAAATGAACCTGGGACCCTTTGATTAGTCTTTATTTACCCATCCCAGCAAGACTGTTAAAATCATATATCTATATATATTGTTATTACCTTTGCTATATTTATTTTTCTCTATACTCTTCTTAAACATACTTGAATTCTCAGAAATTCAGGAAAATACTTAACTACCTGTTGCTTTTCATTTTTGAGGTTTAACTCTTTCTAACATGGAAAATGTGGTCATGTTTGACCAATTTTCTTCAGATCTACCAAAAACTCTAGTGCAAGGTCCTGCCTGATTGTACATGTTGTAAAGGCATTTGTTTAGATAGGCCCTCACACTACATAGCTGGTAAAGTGCATTACCGGCTTCAGATCATTCACCCCTTTTTTATTCATTCTTCTCTTTTCCGCTGGGTCACTGCTTTCTCTACTACTTTTTGGGCCAATTAACTTTGCCAGGACAAATTAAAGGAGAACTATGGGGTTAGGGCTTTTCCCCATAGTTCTCCTAAGGGTAACGGGAGGACACAAACTAGCGCCCTCCCGTCACCCAAAGCTCAGTACCGTATACCGCGAGCTAGAGCTCGCAGTATACTGAGACGCCGGAACGAATCCCGACAATTCTGTCTGGATCCACCCAGCTGCGTGAGTGACAGCTGGCTCTGCCTATCTAGAGGCAGAGCCAGCTGTACCCTCCACCGTCCGTTCCGCCAGTCAGCACTGGAGGATCTGACGGGAGGGGGGAATCCCTGCAGGGAGCCTTGAGTGACAGTCACGGCTCTCTGCAGGGATAAGATCGAGAAGTGAGCGAGCGCCGGTATGTGTTCGCTCACTTCCCGATCTACTGAGCCGACCTGTGACAGTTTTTGTCACAGGTCGGCTCAGATTTTGAGGCTGAGTGAAAATCACTTGCCTCATAATTCTCCTTTAAGAAAGCTGATTACATGTTGAAGGCAAAACCAACATTGATTGAGCATTTAATCCTGAAAAACTGACAAGGTGTAACTCTTATTGCTAGGGATGAGCTTAGGTTCTGACTGAACCCGGTCCAAACCTGAGCTCCTCCGAACCCGGAAGGTGCATGGGGCCACCTGCCCAATCAGCGGCAGGATGAGGCATTCCTTGCCCTGCAACTGCACATAAACAAAGGGGTGGAATGTGTGTGCTGATGCCATTTATCTTATTTTACTACATGGCCATTAGACTTGTGCGTCGTCAAAATGCGTTCCGTTTCGTAATATCCATTATTTCGTAATTCGTATCCGAAACTCAATTCGGATTCATACGAAATACGGATTTTCGTTAGTTTCGGCACATTTTCGTAACTTTACGAACATTCGTTATAATGAAGTTAAAAAGCAAAAATACCTTTGGTAATATTGGAGTCGATGTGGTAGCTGTTTTTGTATCCGAAATACGAATCCCGTTAACGGATTCCGTATTCGTATTTCGGACTTAATAAAATACTACCATCAACTCCAATATAAATGTACTTTGCTTTTTAACTTCAATATAACGAATGTTCGTAACGGAACGAAAATACGTCAACGGAATTTCGTATTTCCTGCCTGTGTATTGTAATGCAACCCTCAGCAGCAGCGGATCCGTATTTCGGATTTTAAAAAAAATCTTTGTTGTTCAACCTCATTTACAGGGGTAATATTAGTTCCTGTTTCAAAGAAATTCGGATCCGAAATTCGTTAACGGAATTTCGTATTTCGGATATAATTCGGAAACTGCAATTCGGATTTCGTATGCTTACGAATCTACGAATTTCAGGAAAATTCGTACGAATTTCCATTCGTAACGAAACGAATCGCACATGTCTAATGGCCATATGAGGTCAATGTCACTGACCAAATATAGCCAGGGGACCATATAAGGTCAGTGACGTCACTGCATACCACCCCTTTGCTTAGGTGATGTGGAATTCCCCAGCCACAGCTGGTTGGGTGGTAGCAGAAGGAGCTGCCTTTTGTGTTCAGGGGAGCTCATTCTCTGTACGGAGGAGCTCTGGTGTTGACCAGGTTCAGTCCGAACCTGAGCGCATCACTACTTGTTACATAATGGGGCCATTTATAAAAGTAGCCCAGTCTTAAAATGTGGTAGTGTGTGTCTTATTCCAGAAACATGCATTTGTTTATACCCCCCCTCAAAAGAAAAAAAAGTCTTAGAAATAGCTTTACAAATTCTTTCATGCACTTTTATAATATCTGTGTGGTGATGGAAACGGTGTATTGTAGTAGCTGTGTTCACGCTGTGCTTCTTAGTAAATCTGCCTCCTAATGCTAAATTCAAAGTATTATAAGTAAGGAATTAAAATACTGTGTCTTTGAGTTCATTTCAGATTATTTAATCACCCTTGCAATATATACAGTATTTGTTAATTGCACATACAGTATGTTTTAAAAGGAGCTTGTTATTCATGATTCAATTTTTTGAGGTAGGATTTCTCCAAAACTAATATTTGTAGCTTGGCGGAGTCTCCAGGGAAGAATTATAGCCCAGCTTCTTGAAACTCATGTGGACTGTTGCTGATTAAGCCTACGAGTGCCCCTGCATTTTTTTCTCTTTGTGATTTGCCTTGTTGAAGCCGATTAATCGATTATTGAAAAAGTTGACAACTTTTCCAATAATCGATTATAATCGATTATGTCGATTAGTTGTTGCAGCCCTAGACTCCTGCATGCACTTTCTGACTTTACCCATTCCCCAGCAAGGTAGCTCTTATGAAAGCGAAAGAGTGGACTTTGCTTAGAGTCAACCTGTGCTTTGCTCATGCAGGCAACGTAACAGGTTCACTGAAAGCTAAAATCTGGGATAGTAAAAAAAGAACAAACTTAGTTCTCCATCACCCAACAGCTGGCCCTCTTTTCTTCTCTCTGACACTCTAGAACGGGGATGGGTCCTCTCCATCCTCATGTACAGCGAATGGTATTGCATTCTATAAGGTAATGTCAGAATGCTTGCGATCGGTGAAACAGCAAAGGCAAGCAGCTTTGGAGGACTGTTGAACAGCGTGGTGGATGCCTATCGTAGCGATGAATGATTATAACAGCTAGTTCCTCTACCCTTAGACTTAAAAACATTTCACCCTAGCATTTTTTTTTTTGGGGGGGGGGTACGCACTCTTCACGCTCTTGCAGATCCATTCACCTGCTAACCGGTACTTCCAGGAATGGGCAAGCATGCCTCATGCAGCTATGAGTGCCTGGCTATCCAAAATCCAGGTCTGAGCACTGTCACATGGGGGCAAATGAACAGTCCCGTGCCCTGTGTAGGTTTTAACCAAACTAGCTGACACAGAGTTTTCTTTCACTTTGCCCCTGTGGACAATCAGGATGACACGGGAGTGTAATGGTGGTGAGTATAAGCAGCGGAGGAATAGAAAAGTGTTAAAGTGCCCATACACTGCGATTATTGCACGATAATTGCGAGAAATCCCACGATCGTACGATAATCGCAAAGTGTATGGAAGGCGTGCAACCGTTTCTACTGTATGATCGCACGTCTTCCATCGAACAAGCAGGCTGGAATACCCGCCGGGAAGTTAGTGGCCTGCTTGTTCGACAACTGCGGAACGACAACTGCACGCGCACACTGCCCTCATTGCAGTCATCGGAAGCCCGCCCCTCAGGGGGACGGTCTTGCGATGATCGCAAGTACGATCTGCCTGTCCAAGATAGGCAGATCGTACGTTTTTTTAATTGCTTTACAACTCTCGCAAGACAAAAGTCTTGCGAGGGTTGTATAGTGTATGAGAAATTATGGACACCGGCACTCCAAAGTAGAATAACGTCTCTTTATTGATGTTTAATGCAACAGTACACTTATTGCAACGTTTCGGGGCCACACAGGATCCCCTTCATCAGGCAGAACAAGTGAACAAGCGGTAAGGAGTGCAATGGGTACATGGATTGTATAGTGTATGGCCACCTTTACTTGGGCTTGTTTTGGACACTTTCACCTGCTTCATTATCTGCTAGTAGTACTGATCTTTTTGTAATCCACAAAACTAACTCACAGCTGTGATTCATTGCATGCATGCCTGTAGCCCTCATACAGTGATATCCCACTGGTTTTAGACTAAATCATACAGCGTAGTACCTGTTTCCTGTAACGAACACAGGATATTGATACTGTACTGTATGATGTAGTCCAGGGAGCATGCGCTGGCAAATAATCTGTTTGACTTGCTCTACAACTCAGTTCTCAAACTTTTGCTGACTCACTGTTTCTGGCTATACCCTATACAGCAAATCATTAATGATGGCCATACACTGCTCTATTTTGTAATTTATCCCACTGGCTGAACGAACAAAATAGAGCAGATTCTTCCATCAACACTACGAGTGTGTCAATTGAGGAATCCCCGCTGTTTGCATTGTATTGGTCATCCGAAGATTTTCCAGCCGGCTCCTTCCATCGGCTGATTGAGGGGTGCCGACAGCCGACACACTTTGAATTTTGGCTGGTTACTCAAGAACCAGCCAAAATTCCCAGAGTGTGCACCTTAACTCTTGGAGATTTGTTCCAGCTTTCAGTTCTTATTTCCCATTAGGTTTAAGTCCTGTATTAAGGGGAAGGGGTTAAGCCCCTGAAACACGTTGGCTGTTCTGTGTTGTTTGTGAACCAATACTATTATTAAAAAGGTTTTGGATTCTCAGGCAGTTTGCTTGGAGCTCTCATTAGACATACACATGAATCTTCAGTTCTGGATCCCTTGTCTGAGGGACACCCGGTTGTTGACAAGAGCGGCTATTCCAGAACCAATGTGCATCTGATCGATCTGGTATATTAAATCCAGTGTCTCATCTTAACTTGTTCTGGACACAAGATACAGGTTGTGTACTCTCTGACATTTGGTCTAGGGAACCCATAGTGACATAGGATCTGTTTTGACTTGCTCTTTAAAGGAGAACTATGGGGTCAGTGTTTTTCCCCATAGTTCTCCTTAGGGTAACGGGGGGACACAAACTAGCGTCCTCCCGTTACCCTAAGCTCAGTATACCGCGAGCTACAGCTCACTATATACTGAGACGCCGCAGCCGGAGCGGATCCCGACATGGACGTCGGGATCCGCCCAGCTGCGTGAGTGACATCTGGCTCTGCCTATCTAGAGGCAGAGCCAGCTGTACCCGCCCCCTCCCCCGTCCGTTCCGCCAGTCAGCGCTGGCAGATCGGAGCGGGGAGAGGGGAATCCAGCCCCTCCCCCTGTCACGGCAGAGAGCCGTGACAGGATCGAGAGGCGAGCGAACCCGGTATGTGTGATCTACTGAGCCGACCTGTGACAGTCTCATTGTCACAGGTCGGCTAGAACTATGAGGTGAGTGAAAAGCACTCACCTCATAGTTCTCCTTTAACTAGGTTCTAATAAGTGTTAGGAAGTGAAATTCATTAGAACTGAGGAAGCTACTTGAATATGAAGAGAATTGTCTTCAACAGCAAAGACAAGTCCAAATGAATAACTACTGCTAGCTATACCAGTCATGTAAAATATTAGCAGCAGCAGGGTGAATTGAGCCTTAGGTCAATGGAGACTCAGGTGCAGATATTCAAATGTTGGTGTCTTTAAGAGAGTACATCAACCTGTTGGGTATACCAAATAAACCCAAGCTGTTAGTGGCTATGTGCCCTTATTTAAAGCAGAGCTCTGACATGGTGATGAAGTTGAGGATTTCCATTCATCATGTAGGAACCACCACACATTGTGATGCATACACTAATCCCGGACTGATAGATTCACTTTAAGAAACCTGTGGGTGATGCAGTATCCCTCCTTCTGCAAGACCCCCCTTTCCATTTTTCCCAATTGCCCTGCACCATCTTTTTCCCACCAAGGGTGAAGCACATAAGTCTCCATAGCAGGTGGAGTGTTCCATCGTTTTTTTCAGTCACAGGAATGTATCCTCCATGTTCTTCCATTAACTTTTTGAATAAGCCCTCAAACAGCCAGGTTTGTAAATGTTGTGTACCTCTTTCCATTATGTCACATATCTGGGACCAAATCAGATTCCTAACATCTGTTCTACAGGCAACATAATAATTGTTCTTCCCTCCAGTTGCACTAACAGTGTTGTTTTATTAGTAAATGTGCATGTGTAGGATGCTAAAATTGTTCTCATTTTGTATTGCAAATTGCCTTCACACAATAAATGTCTTTTGCACACCAACAAACGTCTCCTTTATTTTCATCAAGTTGGAACAGATTTACCATATCTTGTGTCGTTATAATAGTGCTGATGCAAGGTCATGCTGATGAATGCATTATGTAACTATACTTTTGCAATGTAGTGCAATAAAGTGTTATTAAACCCTCCATGCAAAACATTGTATACATCAGCACTTACTCTACACTAACTGATGACTGCCTTCGGTTTGCAGCCTCTCACTTTGTCATTTCCCTTCAAAATGTTCCTACCTTTAGTCTCTGTTTTTAGGGTACCCATATGCATGTGTTCCTGGCCAGGACTACAGCCTGCTGGGGGTGGAGAGACCAGATAGCACTCAGCATAATGGAACCCATAGTTCCAAATCCCTCGGTTATGTGACCTTTCAGTTTCACCTACTGTGCATACTCCCTGACCAGAAGTTTGAGGAGGAGGCACTGTTGGGGGTCCCTAGGTGACATTAGGGATCTTTGAGACCCCTGATGTCTACATAAAGGGGGACTTGTCATGTAAATTGGCTATCACATAGGGGGCTTCTTAGCCCCTTTGTGATAGCAATAAAGTTGTGTAAAAAAAAAAGTAATACAAAAATTAAAGCATAAAACACAACATTTTTTTTAAGTCCCCTGCCCCGCGCATACACGTGCAGATATGCGTCAGGTGCGCCTACGTGTGAAAACGACGATTGTGCCGCACATGTTAGATATCACCGCGAACGCCGGAGTGTGAGCAATAATTTTAGGGCTATTAATCACTGATAACACTAAACTGATCAGCAATAAAAGCGTTTTAAGCGTCGCCTACGGCCAATTTTCAGTGTGGTAGTTTTTTGCAATTTATCAGGCGCGCGCAATTTTAAGGCTTGACATGTTTGGTGTCTATTTACCCGACGTGACCCCGTCTTTTATATTTTACCAAAAATATGGGTAAGAATAGATGTTTTATAACATAAGGTAGGGAAAACATTTTTTTTTTTTTACATTTACGGTACTTTTTTCATTATATAGTAAAAAATAACCCCCTCCCCC